TTCCCCGAAGCCCCTAGAAGTAAAGTAAAAGAAAATGACTACAAAAAGAATTAAAATATTTTTAAAAGGTTGGAGAAAAAAAAAAGAAAGTCATTTTCGGTTTTAGCCTGACAAATGTTTAAAAATTTAATTTTGGTGCATATATATATTTATTAGGACTGCAACTAATGATTATTTTCATAATCGATTAGTTGGCCAATTATTTTTCCGATTAATCGGATAAAAAATGAAACACACAAGTGTTTCTATTAAATTGTATATTTGTCTATTTTTTGTGGAAAATGAATAAAAGACTTTGTAAACGAAAAAAATGAAACAAATACCACTTAAAATACACAAAAGCAGTGTTGCAAAGTTTACTTCAGAACAAAACTGCATGCACAATTTTTTGCAATCGTACGGCATTGCAGTACCGTGCTCTTCAGTGCGGCCGATCACGCTGTTGGTGGGAGGCGCGTTTGGGGTGCCATTGAAATGAATGGCCCTGCAGAGCACCTCCCGCAGCAGAACTTGTCAGGCTGAAACTGAAAATGACTTTTTTCCCACCTTTTTTTTGTAATAATTGTATTGTAAGCACATGGCGCTGAAATAGCTTCAGCCCGGGAATGACGGCTGCCAGTGGTAAGATTCCACAGACGGCAGCTGAATGTAAATACAGCAGGTAGTGGGCTGGTGCAATAGCCAGCCTGCTATTGGCCATTTGACATTTAGTTAGCCAATAGCAGGCTGGCTATTGCACCAGCCCACTGCTTACTGTGCCCTCCTCCCAGCGTGGAGCAGAGAGCTAGAGGATCCAACCAACTAATCGATAATGAGAATAGTGGACAACTATTCTCATTATTGATTAATTGGTCTCTCTCTCTTTCATATCTATTTTTTTACCCTCCCAGAATATATAAAATATATTGAACACATTGAATATTTCACATGCGTTATATGTGGGAAAAGGAAAAGCATGGACGAAAGCAAGTGTTAGTAGCAGGCCGACACTCTGTGTGCACGGAGCTCTCCGTACAATGAGTCCAATTCTCAGATATTAGGAAATGTTGATACATAAATCCCCCGACAGGCGAGTATCTGTCATGAAGCCGGGGTGAGAGCAGATGATGAGCAGCACAAAGCTGGACACAACGAGCCGTGTAACCATCCTACGCCATGCTGGCCTTCCATCCCGCGTCCCATCCCAGCGAACTCTGAAATGAGCATCCATGTTCATCAGGATACAGACACATCACGCCTGTGTGAGAGGAATTCTAACCAGCTGTATGAGTCACAGTCACAACACTGCTGAATTTTCAGCCATGGCGAGCAGGGCTACGGCATGACAAAATAACGCCTGTACCGGAGACCGCGAATCAAACAACCTCACGCCGTACATGACAACAACATGTACAGTTCATTGACCATGCAACAGCATCCTCCGGCCACAGAGAAAGTGTCATTGAAGAATTCCTCCAAAACACAGTTCAGTTCACCGGCATGTCACCTCCACCACCAGACAGCAAGGGGGCAATTAACCCTTCGCAGCCCAGAGCTGGCCTGGAATGCATCACTGCAATGCTTAGCCACACTGCCGGGGGGGAAAAGGTTACAGCCACTTAGTGCCCCCATTGCAAGAGGTGAAACCCCCCTGTGCCCACCTCCCCTAAAAGATGACAGCACTGGCATGGTGCACCCCATCCACTGCTCAATGCAGGGCACCCCAAAACATCAGAAAACAAAGCATTACAATATTTGCACAGGGCACCCCAACACACCAGAAAACAAAAGCATTACAATATGTGCACAGGGCACCCCAAAACATCAGAAAACAAAGCATTACAATATTTGCACAGGGCACCCCAAAACATCGGGAAACAAAAGCATTACATTTTCACAGGGCACCCCAACATATCAGGAAAGCTAGTAATGCAGTTTTGCACAGCCAAGAATTACAATATGTGCACAGGGAACCCCAACACATCTGGAAACAATATATTGATATAAATGCCCAGGGCACCCCGACACCAGTAAATCAATAAATGTCCAGGGCACCCCAGAACGAGTGTAGTCATATTGGCCCAGGGCGCCCCGACACCAGTATAGTCATATTGGCCCAGGGCGCCCCGACACCAGTATAGTCATATTGGCCCAGGGCGCCCCGACACCAGTATAGTCATATTGGCCCAGGGCGCCCCGACACCAGTATAGTCATATTGGTCCAGGGCGCCCCGACACCAGTATAGTCGTATTGGCCCAGGGCACCCCGACATAAGTATAGTAATAATTGTTCAGGGTACCCCGACACCAGTATATTAATAATTGTTCAGGGTACCCCGACACCAGTATAGTTATAATTGTTCAGGGTACCCCGACACCAGTATAGTAATAATTGTTCAGGGTACCCCGACACCAGTATAGTGATAATTGTTCAGGGTACCCCAGGCAATCATTGTCATACTGAAGTCTATTCCTTCAGCAATTATTACACAAGAATTACGCTTAGGGTACCCCTCCCCCTGTATTACATGAACTGCCTAGAGTACCCCAACACCAACATTCCAAAAATTGCTCATGGTACCACAATACTAGCATGACAAGAATTGCCTGGGGTACCCCGAAACCACTATTACAATAATTGCCCAGGGCACCCCAATACTATTACATTATAGTACCCCAACCCCAGCATAATTGCCCGGGGTACCCCGACACCAGAATTAAATTTGGCCATGGTACCCCAAAACCAGTATTGTCATAATTGGCCAGGGTACCCCAACACCAGCATTATAATTGCCCAGGGTATCCTGGCACCAATATTACAATACACAGTATGCCCGGGGTACCAGTAATCTAATAATTGGCCAGGGTACCCCGACACCAGTATTATAATAAATGCCAGGGGTACCCGAATATTAACATGCCAATAATTGCCCGGAGTACCCCAACTCCAATATTTGCAGCGTATGAAGAGTACAGAATGCCCCCCCTTGGCTTACCTTGTTGGAGGCCATTTCACTGACAGAGTGCCGGGTCTGTAGGGTCTCCAGCTGGTCCAGACACCAGTCCAGCTCCTCCAGGGTCTCGCTGGCCAGCTTCTGATAGGCCTCCTCTGTGAAGAGACAGGGGAGAGGACACTGAGTTTTCAGGCGCTTCACTGGGCTGACATCAAACTCCAGAGGGTCCATCGTGCCATACACTGCCATGCTCGCATGACCAGTGATCATACATGAGGGATCCTTCATACTGCAACCACACACACTCAGGAGAGAAGTCCCAGAGCTCTGCCAGGGGAGGCCAGCCCGCAGAGAACAGTAACTGGAGGCCAGCCTGCGGGGTACAGGACTAGAGGCCAGCCTGCACAGGACAGTCACTGGAGGCCAGCTTGCGGAGGACAATCACTGAGGGCCAGCCTGCGGAGGACAATCACTAAGGGCCAGCCTGCGGAGGACAATCACTAAGGGCCAGCCTGCGGAGGACAATCACTAAGGGCCAGCCTGCGGAGGACAATCACTAAGGGCCAGCCTGCGGAGGACAATCACTAAGGGCCAGCCTGCGGAGGACAATCACTAAGGGCCAGCCTGCGGAGGACAATCACTAAGGGCCAGCCTGCGGAGGACAATCACTAAGGGCCAGCCTGCGGAGGACAATCACTAAGGGCCAGCCTGCGGAGGACAATCACTAAGGGCCAGCCTGCGGAGGACAATCACTAAGGGCCAGCCTGCGGAGGACAATCACTAAGGGCCAGCCTGCGGAGGACAATCACTAAGGGCCAGCCTGCGGAGGACAATCACTAAGGGCCAGCCTGCGGAGGACAATCACTAAGGGCCAGCCTGCGGAGGACAATCACTAAGGGCCAGCCTGCGGAGGACAATCACTAAGGGCCAGCCTGCGGAGGACAATCACTAAGGGCCAGCCTGCGGAGGACAATCACTAAGGGCCAGCCTGCGGAGGACAATCACTAAGGGCCAGCCTGCGGAGGACAATCACTAAGGGCCAGCCTGCGGAGGACAATCACTAAGGGCCAGCCTGCGGAGGACAATCACTAAGGGCCAGCCTGCGGAGGACAATCACTAAGGGCCAGCCTGCGGAGGACAATCACTAAGGGCCAGCCTGCGGAGGACAATCACTAAGGGCCAGCCTGCGGAGGACAATCACTAAGGGCCAGCCTGCGGAGGACAATCACTAAGGGCCAGCCTGCGGAGGACAATCACTAAGGGCCAGCCTGCGGAGGACAATCACTAAGGGCCAGCCTGCGGAGGACAATCACTAAGGGCCAGCCTGCGGAGGACAATCACTAAGGGCCAGCCTGCGGAGGACAATCACTAAGGGCCAGCCTGCGGAGGACAATCACTAAGGGCCAGCCTGCGGAGGACAATCACTAAGGGCCAGCCTGCGGAGGACAATCACTAAGGGCCAGCCTGCGGAGGACAATCACTAAGGGCCAGCCTGCGGAGGACAATCACTAAGGGCCAGCCTGCGGAGGACAATCACTAAGGGCCAGCCTGCGGAGGACAATCACTAAGGGCCAGCCTGCGGAGGACAATCACTAAGGGCCAGCCTGCGGAGGACAATCACTAAGGGCCAGCCTGCGGAGGACAATCACTAAGGGCCAGCCTGCGGAGGACAATCACTAAGGGCCAGCCTGCGGAGGACAATCACTAAGGGCCAGCCTGCGGAGGACAATCACTAAGGGCCAGCCTGCGGAGGACAATCACTAAGGGCCAGCCTGCGGAGGACAATCACTAAGGGCCAGCCTGCGGAGGACAATCACTAAGGGCCAGCCTGCGGAGGACAATCACTAAGGGCCAGCCTGCGGAGGACAATCACTAAGGGCCAGCCTGCGGAGGACAATCACTAAGGGCCAGCCTGCGGAGGACAATCACTAAGGGCCAGCCTGCGGAGGACAATCACTAAGGGCCAGCCTGCGGAGGACAATCACTAAGGGCCAGCCTGCGGAGGACAATCACTAAGGGCCAGCCTGCGGAGGACAATCACTAAGGGCCAGCCTGCGGAGGACAATCACTAAGGGCCAGCCTGCGGAGGACAATCACTAAGGGCCAGCCTGCGGAGGACAATCACTAAGGGCCAGCCTGCGGAGGACAATCACTAAGGGCCAGCCTGCGGAGGACAATCACTAAGGGCCAGCCTGCGGAGGACAATCACTAAGGGCCAGCCTGCGGAGGACAATCACTAAGGGCCAGCCTGCGGAGGACAATCACTAAGGGCCAGCCTGCGGAGGACAATCACTAAGGGCCAGCCTGCGGAGGACAATCACTAAGGGCCAGCCTGCGGAGGACAATCACTAAGGGCCAGCCTGCGGAGGACAATCACTAAGGGCCAGCCTGCGGAGGACAATCACTAAGGGCCAGCCTGCGGAGGACAATCACTAAGGGCCAGCCTGCGGAGGACAATCACTAAGGGCCAGCCTGCGGAGGACAATCACTAAGGGCCAGCCTGCGGAGGACAATCACTAAGGGCCAGCCTGCGGAGGACAATCACTAAGGGCCAGCCTGCGGAGGACAATCACTAAGGGCCAGCCTGCGGAGGACAATCACTAAGGGCCAGCCTGCGGAGGACAATCACTAAGGGCCAGCCTGCGGAGGACAATCACTAAGGGCCAGCCTGCGGAGGACAATCACTAAGGGCCAGCCTGCGGAGGACAATCACTAAGGGCCAGCCTGCGGAGGACAATCACTAAGGGCCAGCCTGCGGAGGACAATCACTAAGGGCCAGCCTGCGGAGGACAATCACTAAGGGCCAGCCTGCGGAGGACAATCACTAAGGGCCAGCCTGCGGAGGACAATCACTAAGGGCCAGCCTGCGGAGGACAATCACTAAGGGCCAGCCTGCGGAGGACAATCACTAAGGGCCAGCCTGCGGAGGACAATCACTAAGGGCCAGCCTGCGGAGGACAATCACTAAGGGCCAGCCTGCGGAGGACAATCACTAAGGGCCAGCCTGCGGAGGACAATCACTAAGGGCCAGCCTGCGGAGGACAATCACTAAGGGCCAGCCTGCGGAGGACAATCACTAAGGGCCAGCCTGCGGAGGACAATCACTAAGGGCCAGCCTGCGGAGGACAATCACTAAGGGCCAGCCTGCGGAGGACAATCACTAAGGGCCAGCCTGCGGAGGACAATCACTAAGGGCCAGCCTGCGGAGGACAATCACTAAGGGCCAGCCTGCGGAGGACAATCACTAAGGGCCAGCCTGCGGAGGACAATCACTAAGGGCCAGCCTGCGGAGGACAATCACTAAGGGCCAGCCTGCGGAGGACAATCACTAAGGGCCAGCCTGCGGAGGACAATCACTAAGGGCCAGCCTGCGGAGGACAATCACTAAGGGCCAGCCTGCGGAGGACAATCACTAAGGGCCAGCCTGCGGAGGACAATCACTAAGGGCCAGCCTGCGGAGGACAATCACTAAGGGCCAGCCTGCGGAGGACAATCACTAAGGGCCAGCCTGCGGAGGACAATCACTAAGGGCCAGCCTGCGGAGGACAATCACTAAGGGCCAGCCTGCGGAGGACAATCACTAAGGGCCAGCCTGCGGAGGACAATCACTAAGGGCCAGCCTGCGGAGGACAATCACTAAGGGCCAGCCTGCGGAGGACAATCACTAAGGGCCAGCCTGCGGAGGACAATCACTAAGGGCCAGCCTGCGGAGGACAATCACTAAGGGCCAGCCTGCGGAGGACAATCACTAAGGGCCAGCCTGCGGAGGACAATCACTAAGGGCCAGCCTGCGGAGGACAATCACTAAGGGCCAGCCTGCGGAGGACAATCACTAAGGGCCAGCCTGCGGAGGACAATCACTAAGGGCCAGCCTGCGGAGGACAATCACTAAGGGCCAGCCTGCGGAGGACAATCACTAAGGGCCAGCCTGCGGAGGACAATCACTAAGGGCCAGCCTGCGGAGGACAATCACTAAGGGCCAGCCTGCGGAGGACAATCACTAAGGGCCAGCCTGCGGAGGACAATCACTAAGGGCCAGCCTGCGGAGGACAATCACTAAGGGCCAGCCTGCGGAGGACAATCACTAAGGGCCAGCCTGCGGAGGACAATCACTAAGGGCCAGCCTGCGGAGGACAATCACTAAGGGCCAGCCTGCGGAGGACAATCACTAAGGGCCAGCCTGCGGAGGACAATCACTAAGGGCCAGCCTGCGGAGGACAATCACTAAGGGCCAGCCTGCGGAGGACAATCACTAAGGGCCAGCCTGCGGAGGACAATCACTAAGGGCCAGCCTGCGGAGGACAATCACTAAGGGCCAGCCTGCGGAGGACAATCACTAAGGGCCAGCCTGCGGAGGACAATCACTAAGGGCCAGCCTGCGGAGGACAATCACTAAGGGCCAGCCTGCGGAGGACAATCACTAAGGGCCAGCCTGCGGAGGACAATCACTAAGGGCCAGCCTGCGGAGGACAATCACTAAGGGCCAGCCTGCGGAGGACAATCACTAAGGGCCAGCCTGCGGAGGACAATCACTAAGGGCCAGCCTGCGGAGGACAATCACTAAGGGCCAGCCTGCGGAGGACAATCACTAAGGGCCAGCCTGCGGAGGACAATCACTAAGGGCCAGCCTGCGGAGGACAATCACTAAGGGCCAGCCTGCGGAGGACAATCAATGAGGGCCAGCCTGCGGAGGACAGTCACTGGAGGCCAGCCTGCGGAGGACAGAGAGGAACAGTCACTGGAAACCAGCCTGCGGAGGACAGAGAGGAACAGTCACTGGAGGCCAGTCTGCGGAGGACAGAGGAACAGTCACTGGAGGCCAGCTTGCAGCTACATGAGCCAGGTGAGTCCAGCCTCTGTAGGACAGTCAGTGGAGGCCAGCCTGTGTAGGACAGTCAGTGGAGGCCAGCCTGTGTAGGACAGTCAGTGGAGGCCAGCTTGCGGAGGACAGCTAGATGAGCCGGTGCAGGCAGATGGCCGGAGCTGAGCCTGCAATGGATGGATCAGCTCTCAGCACTGACTGCCTCCTCCTCGGCTCTGTCCTGCAGCACATCCATGTCCTCTGTGGTAGGAGGAGAGTGAGGGAGCCGTGCACAGGATGCAGCCCGGAGACCTCAGTGTGTCATCCTCATCCAGCCTGTGAGCTGCCGCCTGC